GAGTGCGATCGGACGGCGGTCGCGCCGGCTCGCGCGCGGCGTGCAGTTCCTGCCGAGCTCGCGCGAGTTTGTCGAGCGCTTTGACGACGAGGGTGTGGTCCGGCGTGCCGTCGCGGGGACCCTGCGTCACGATGACCCGCACCACGCGCAGGCGCGGCACGTCCTGAGCCGCGTCGCGTGGACGCCCGGCGTTATGGCGGTCCTCCGCCGCGCCGTCACCGCGAACCCAGTCGCGATGACGCGCGTCGTCGCCAAGGTCCGCGGGCTCGCCGAGGCGATGCAGCCCGCTGTCGCTGTTGACGGGGTCGAGGAGGACGCGGCGCTCGAGTCTGACTTCACCTCGGACGAGGAGGACGAGGATGACGATGACGATGAAGACAGTGATGATGAGGACGACGACGAGTAGACACATAGAACCCGTTATATAGTGCAACGATGTGATCCAAAACTACCCTCGATGAGACTACTCGGCGGGCGAGACATGGCCCTCGTCCGCCACGACGCCCGAGTCCACCGCGGCCTCGGCCACGCCGCGCTCGTGCTTGACCAATACGACCTCGACAGCGCCGTCGGCGGTGCGGCGGACGGCGGGGTTGCCGAACAGGCGGGCGTACCGCGCAAGCGCCCAGCTGGTGAAGGCGAGCTTGTAGTTGGGGTAGGAGATCATGCAGTTCTTGTTGAAGACGCCCTCGATAGCCTCCTGGCGCCACGACCCGTTCTCGCGCTGGCGCGAGAGGATGAGCTCGATGCCGCGGCGGATCAGGGTGTGGTCCGGGTACTCTGCGCGCATGAGGGTGAGCACGGCCCACGCCGTGTTGACGACCTGCGACTCGGCGTGCTGCACGTACACGTGGCGCTCGCACGACGTGTAGTGCTCGCCCCACCCGCCGTCGGGCTTGACCTTGCCCGCAATAAAGTCGCACGCGCGGCGGATGTGCTTTAAGGTCGCGTACGTGTCGCCGCCGGCGCCCGCGAGCGACTCGACGGCGAACCACGTCGCGTACGTGTAGCAGACGCCCCACGCGCCGTACCACCCGCCGGCGGGCTCCTGCACGCGCTTGATGTACTCGAGGGCGCGCGCCTTGACGCGGGCCACCTCGGCGGCGCGGTACGCGCCGAGGTCCGGGCGGTACCCCTGGAACGCGAGCAGGCCGAGCACCGACGCGGTGGTGCACTCGGGGTACGAGTACTCGATCATGATGTTGCCGAACACCTCGGCCGGGTTGAGCGCCTCAAGGATCGCGGGCCCGCGAATCAGCTCGTACGACGCGAACCCGCCGTCGCGGTTGGGCATACTGAGCAGCACGTCGACGGCGTCCTTGATGCGGTCGTCGGTGACGCGCGGGGCGTCGGGCAGGGTGGCCTGTAGCTGCAGGACGGCCTTGAGGCCCTCGGCGGTGCAGTCGCTGACCGTGTAGCTCTGCTGGCGGTTGGAGAAGGGCCAGGCGCCCTTGGAGGTGTGGCGGTACGAGTGGAAGGGGGCGTTGCGGCGGATCTGGCACGCGTCGAGGAAGCCGAGGGCGCGCGCGAACACGGGGCGGAACTCGGGGTCGGCGTGCAGGCCGGCCTCGTAGCCGGCCTGGCAGAAGAAGGCCGAGTCCCACAGCTGCGACCCGTTGGTGCCGTTCATGCGCATGCCGTCGGCGGCCTGCCACATGAAGTCCTTGACCATGGCGACGTGGTCGCGGAACCGCGCGCTGTCGGCACCGTGGGCGTGGAAGATGACGAGCATGTTCATGGCCTTGTTGACCGGGCCCAGGTCGAGCGAGCCCGTGTTGTCGTCCTCGTTCTCGACGAGCTGCAGGGTCAGGGCGAGCGCCTTCTTGCGGAGCCGGCCGCTGTGGACGCGCTCGTACTTGCCGAGCAGCCACCAGATGGCCTCGCCGAGCTTGGACTCGGGGATGTAGCGGTCAATGGTGGCGACGCAGCCGGGGGCGCGCGACCAGTCGACGGTGTCGTAGCCCTGCGGGTAAAGCTCGGCGCGGAGATCCTCGATGAGGGCGTCGGACGGGCAGGTGAGGCGCAGGCCGTAGAGGTAGCCCATGGGGAGGTAGACCATGCGGGTGTGGATCCACATGCGCCACGGGTGGGCGGGGACCCAGTCGGGGAGCAGCCACAGCTCGGGCGGGACGGGCTTCATGCCGTCCCACGAGTAGAGGCCGAGGGAGGCGAGCCAGAACTTGCCCCACGACGGGATGCCGAGGGTGCCCTCGGGGACGCGGTGGAGGAAGTCGCGGGCGCGCGTGCACAAAGCGTCGTCGGCGGGGACGCCCAGCAGGCGCAGGGCGACGTAGTTGAGGGCGGTGCCGAAGACGGTGGCCGGCGACTCGATGTGGATGCCCCAGCCGCCCGTGGCGGGCACCTCACGCGACCGCAGGTACCGCACCATCTCGATGCGCATGGGCATGGACAGAAAGTCGTCGCGGCGGCCCGTCACGTACCACGCGATGACGAGGCCCGGGACCAGGAACATGGGTCCGCCGTACTCGCCGGCCCAGTGGCCATCGTCGGTCTGCAGGCGGCTCACGAAGCGGAACCCGTTGCGGACCGCGTCCTGGACGGTGGCGGGCGGCGGGAGCGTGGGCTCGGTTTCCTGGAGTAGAGTGTGCGGTCAGCACTCGGTGTCGGCCTCATACATGAAAGTAGCTGAGCGCACCGGCAGCATGTCGAGCCAGTAGCGGTCGGCGTCGCGCTGCACGTCGGCGGGGGCCGGGTGGTCGACGTAGTCCCACCACTGGCGGCCGTCGTCGACGCGCAGCCGCCACTTGCGCAGGTCGGTGGCGTCGCCGGCGCGGATCGGCGGCACGGCGCGGTCGCACTTGGCGTAGTAGGTGCTTTTCATTGCAGTCTAGCTGGTTGCATTGCGGGAGCGAGGGCAGGGGCGAAGGGGGCGCCGCCGCTTTTGAGCCGTGGACGGCGCGTGGAAAATCTCACGCCCGCGGATCAGCGCCACAACGTGGGTCCTTCGCGTCGCGTCGGAGAATCCAGCCGGGGGAGACAGACTCGGAGAATAGGCAACAAAAAGTGATTCTACTACAGACTAATACACGGCAGCCAAGCGCACGCGGTCGGCTCAGAACTCGTCGTCGTCGAGCGTGACTTCAATGTACTCGGTCATGACGCGCATGAGGAAGTAGGCCACGTTGCTGGCCATGCGCAGGCCGAGCCCCTGGTACAGCGGCTCGAGCCGCCACCACAGCCCGAGCTCGGACGCGCCCGTCGACCCGCGCCGCCGCAGCTTGCGGTTGCGCCGCGCGCGCCGCCCCGCGAGCTTGGCGACCGCCGCGGGCCCCGCCTTGGCCGCGGCCGCGTCGGCCCGGTGTTCGGCGCGCGCCCCGCCCTCCTCGCGCTGCGTGCGCACCAGGCAGTCGCGGATCCCCGTGTACGGCACGGGCGCCTGCGGCACGATCGCCACCCAGTCACGCCCGTCGCGCGGGTGCGCCGCCGGCTGCGCGTACAGCCGTGCCTGCGCCGTCTGCAGCGGGAGCAGCGCCAGGTCGCGCACCGTCTTGAGCACCAGCTCGTACACGGCGTACCGGATCGGGTTGTACGTCTCCGACACGCCCAGGACCCGGTCGATGAGCAGCGGCGTGAACAGCGCGAACCCGTTGCCGACCGCCGACGCCGCCAGCGTTGGCAGCACCAGGGTCAGGTTCATGTACGGGTTGGACCGCACGTCCAGGAACTGCGCCCGCAGCGCGTGCAGGAACCCGCGGTACTTGCGCTCGGGCCGCGACGTCTGCACCGCGAGCCGCGTGCACGCGATCGCGAACGGCGACAGCAGGAAATCGACGCCGACCGACGTCACCAGCGCGACCAGCGAGATCGGGATCGGGTTGTCGTGGTCGACAGGCAACAGCGTGTCGTCGATCCCGAGCGAATCGCACGCGCTCGAGCACAGCGTCGGCTCCATGGTCTCGGCCAGCATGTGCCGCGCGAAATCCGTGAACAGCGCCTTGTACAGGGCCAGCGTGCCCTCCTCGGGGTGTCGCCGCACCGCCCGCACCGTCGACCACAGACCGCCCGTCAGCGGCGGCAGCATCGTCAGCGGCCGCGTCGCCGCGTCGTCCGCGTACGAGTGCACCACGTACCCGTCGTCGTCCACGCGGCTCGGCGCCGACGTCGACGGCACCGAGCTCATGGCCGTCGACGGCTGCGACAGGAGGAAGTCGAGGTCGTCGCCGCCCCGCGCAGGACCGTCCGAGGCAAACCCGTCCGAAGCAAAGTCGGTCTCGTTGTCGTCATCCTCGTGATCCTGCACAATGAGGTAGGGAGTCAGTCGAGTGGCGCCTCCCGCACCGATCAGTCCAAAACACACGCACCGCGTCGAGATCGGACCCCTCGTCGCCGCTGCTGCTGCTGCCGAGGTGGGCGAGGCGGCTGCGGGTGGCGGCGTTGGGCAGGTACTGGACGCGGAGCAGCGTCGACGCCACGTTGGCGTGCGACCAGATGGCGAGCCCGAGGAACCGGAACAGCGCATACCGCGCGTACCCGCTCGGGCTGACCACCTCCACGTCCACGTCGCCGTCGTCGTAGCCGTAGTCGCCCGACAGCGGCGACCCGAGCGGCGCGCCGACCGCGTACGGGTTGAGCGCGCCCGCGGGCAGCCCGCTCAGCGCGCTGCTGTCGATGGCATAGGGGTTGGTTGCCATGGGTGCTGATGCGTTGCAGCGAGTGCCGGTGGAGGGAGAGGGGGAGTTGGCGGCGGCGCGGCGATGCAAGGGACCGAAGCGCGATGATCAACACGCCGGAACACGGATTGCATCACTCCCGCTTCTCCGAACACGCGTGGCACCGCCGTCACCTGACCCGATCAACATGAACGGCGCGTCTCCGCCAGGGTCGCCCGTCGCATCCCGCGGCGATCAGCCCCTTGGAAAGCGATTCGGGCTTACAGGATGCACGGGTCTTGTGGGTTCCCGGGGATCTTGAGGCTTTTGACTACGCAGAGTTAGAATGGAGATCACGGTCATTTTGTAAGTCAACCAAACGAAAACATCGGACCGTTGGTGTAGTGGTAGCACACCACCCTTCCAAGGTGGCAGGTCGGGTTCGAGCCCCGGACGGTTCATTTTTAGCTTCTGGGACCTTGTTTTGTAGAGGTGGGGTCCCCTTTTGCTGCGAGAGTCGTCTCCCGCGACGAGAGCGAGCGTGGCTCGCCGGGAGTTCACCCCGACCTTCCACCCCGCCCCGGACCTCATTCAGACGCGCTTTGCCCTCAGCCATCCTAGGGATCCCCTCTTGGGCAGCCTGGCGGCCCGGGGGAGCCGCTGACCTTGTGCCGGGGCGGCCACTCAACCCATATCTCGGCGAGGCGTGTACAACCACTGATCTCGGTTATTATCATTCGTATAGTACAGATCCACCCTCCCATCCGTCGCCTCAGCGATGCTTCTGGGCAAACTCCTCGGCGAGCGTCGCGGGCCGCTCCTCGCCATCAGCCTCGTCGTCGGACACGCCCTCGACCAGGGCGCCGTACTTGGCCTCGATCTGGATACGCGCGAGCCCGCGGCCCGCCGGGTCGGCGTTGTGCGCGGGGTACGCGTAGTCCCAGTCGGGGACCGCGAGCAGCGCCGCAATCGATGCGCGCGCGCCCTCCATGCTGTACGTCGACATGGCCAGCGGACCCGTCAGCACCGGCTGCTTGCACGTCCCGACCGTCGGCGGAAGGTACATGAGCGCGTCGCCGACGAACAGCGTGCGCGTGGCCTCGTGCTAGATTCATGCAAGGGCGGTCAGCAAGTGGGCGGGTAGCGTGGGGCGAGGGGAGAGCGTACCAGATAGGAGACCGACCCGGGCGTGTGCCCCGGCGTCTCGATCATGCGGAGCCCCGACTTGGCCTCCCACGGCTCGTGCTGCACGGCGGGCGCCGAGTCGTCGCTGCCCTCGACAATCTCGACCTCGCCCGTTGCCGCCGACGCAGTGCCCGACTCGCCGTGCGCCGCCACCCCCAAAATCCGGACGGCGGGCACGCGCACCTTGGACTCCTGCATGACGAAGCGCGCGCAGTTGTACAGTGCGGTATCCCCCTTGAGCGCGCGGAACCGCGCTGCGCCCGTGAGGTACGGCACCTCGCGCGGGTGCGCGACGACTTTCGCCGCGGGCCACCGCGCGAGGATCGCCGGGACCGTCGCAATGTGGTCGAGGTGCGCGTGTGTCACGGCCACGTACGCGACCTCGCCGTCGGCGCCAATCGCGGCCTCGATGGCGGGGACCAGCGTCTGCTCGCTCCCGGGACACCCGCCGTCGATCAGCGTCCACTGCTCGCGGCGGCGGCCCGTGTCGGTATCGGTGGCGTCGACGACAGCGGTTGGGTGGCGCACCAGGAACACGGAGCACGGGACGGGCGCGACAAGGGCGCCGGCGAGCCGCCAGCCGTGCGTGCACGCGCAGGGGATGTGCGTGGACGACGGGTCCGCGGGCGTCGCGAGCGGGACCGCGATGAAGACGCCGCGCGCCGGGGCGGATGGGTCGTCCGAGATGCTGGCAGTCATTTTAGCGTGGTTCAAGTTACATTCACTGACTAGTTTGTCGGGGAGAGAGGGAGCGGGGAGCGACGAAGCGCCCTCAAGTTGAAGCCGCTGCGCGTTTGAAACTGTGGCGCTCGCTCGACGCCTCCTGCACCGATTTTCACGAGGAGCCCGGCCCGATGTAAGAATAAACCATGTATCGCGTTCTGCACGTCGACAGAGGAACTTGGCGACGAGGAAGGGAGTGCGGAGGACAGGAGGGAGGCCTAGTCATCGTCGTCGCTCCCGATACGGCGCCGGCGTCGCTTGAGCGGCGGCGGCTGGTCGGGCGAGCTCGCGGCGGGCGGGCCCGACGACGACAGGAGGTGCGACGACGTGACGGAGCTGGGCCCGCCGCTGCGCGCCGCGACGCCGCTGCTCGGGTGCGGGCCCGTCGTCGCCGACCCCGTGGTCGTCGAGAGCCCGGGCATGCCCGCGGACAAGGACGTCGGCGGCTGCGGGATCAGGTACGCCGCGAGCGATCCGGTCGGCGCAAGCGGGAGGTGAGTACCCTGGCCACCGCGGCCGCCGAGCCCGCCGCCGAGTCCGATGAGCAGGTTGCCGCCGGCACCCAGCTTGCGCGACGGGCGCGAGATAGGGCCGTCGTCCTCGGAATCGCTGCCCAGCTGCTGGCCGCGGCGGCGCATAGGGCGGGTACCGCCAGTCAGACCAGCGAGCCGTCCCGATCTCCCGCCGAGCCCGCCGGCGTTGCCCGCGCGCAGGTCCGACTGCGAGTTGCCGCGGCTGTTGCCCGCGCTTCCGTTGCTGCCGAGCGTCGAGGACCGCGGTGCGCCGAGACCGAACCCGTGCAGCTGGTCGTCGTCGTCGGACTCCGGGTCCGTGTCGCCGTCAATCAGCGCGAACCGCTTGCGCTTCGACACCGCCTCGGACGGCTTGAGGTAGTACGAGTCCGTGGGCTGGAACGGGACCAGTTTCGTGGTCGACCGGCCCGACGACCCGCGCCGCACCAGCGCGTCGCCCATGTCGTCCTCGAGCTCGTCGACCTCCTCGCCGCCGAGTGCCGCGGCAGCAGCGGCGGCCGCAGCCGCTTGCTCGCGTCGGCGCCGGCGTGCCGCGCTGCCGAGCTCGTCCTCGTCGCTGTCGCTGCCCCCGCCGTTGATCGGGACGTTGGCGATGAGACCGAGCGGCAGGATCACCTTGAGCAGCGGGTTCGGCGCCTGCGACTTGCGGAACCGCTTGAAGTTGCGCCGGCCCGCCCACCGCTGCGACGAGTCGAGTGTCGCGCTCCCGCCATCCTGCGACGACACGCCCGCGCTGCCCGCCGCCGCTGCCTGCGAGGCCGGGTACGCGTTGACGTAGCCCGGGCGGCACGCCGTGGTGGTCGACGTGGCGGGATCGACGACGAGCTTGACGTACGACACGCGCAGCAGGCCCGAGAGCGTCTCGGGATCGACGTCGGGGTCAATGGCCTGCGACTCCTCGCTCGGTGCGGGCGCGGACGGAGCCGGGGTCGCGGCCGCCGAGTCGGGTTCCGGTTCGGGCGACGGGATCGTCGCGCGAGCCTGCGATGCCGAACCCGCCGCACCTGTAGCCGCCGCGGGTTCGCCCTCGGTCGCGCCCGCCGACTCAACATCGTTGGGTGCGGGGATCTGCGACGAGGAAGTACTCGGTGCGGGGGTCGCCGCGCTGGTCGGTTCGGGAGCAGGCGCCGGTGGAGCCGCGGGTGCCGCCGGCTGCGGGATCCCGAGTTGCTCGAGCCGCACCTCGGTGCCGTACAGGCTCGAGATGGGTGCGGCGCGAGTACGCGTCGTGCCCGGCCGCGCGGTACCGGCACCGGTCTGTCCCGTAGCAGTGGACGCGCGCGAGGTCTCGCGCGTGCCAGGTCGTGGCGGCTGCGAGCCCTGCTGCCGAAGCGAGTTTTCGGGGCGAAGCGAGGACGAAGCCGAAGCCGACGCGCGGCTGAACAGGTCGCCGAGAGCAAAAAGGGCGCCCGTGCCTGTGCCAGCGCTGGGCTGGGCCTGCGTCGCGCGGCGGGGCGCCAAACTGGAACCCCGCGCCTGGGTCGCTGCCGGCCGCGCGGAGCCCGACATGGCGTTGTGAAAGATGTCGTCGAGGACGCTTCCGAATGCGGAGGATGACGCGATCGGGGTTGCGCCGGGGGTGGTGATGCCCGCCGGGCGCGGAGCGAGGCGAGGTGCCGACCCAGCAGCGGTTCCCTGCGTGGCGCCGAGTCCGCCACGGACCACGGTAGACGTCACCTGGTTGGCGAGGAGCCCGTCCAAAAAGGCGGACAGGGTGGTGTAGCGAGTCGCCGAGGGGACGCTGCAGGTCGAGGTGGTGCCGACGTGGATCGGGACGCCTGTCGGAGCCGTGGCCGAAGTGGCCATCACTGGGTCGGATCCGCCGAAATGGCGCAGCACCTGGCCGAAAACGGGGACCTGGCTCTCGCCAATGGCGGCGACCGCATCGGGCGTGAGGACAATCGTGTGCGAGGCAAGGATCCGGCTGTGCGCAAGTGGCGCGGTCGCGGCGCGAATGTCGGCCGGCTTCATCCACACCTGGATCTCTTCCTGCGGCGTCGCGTGCGTGTACGGGTAGACCGCGGCAACGCTGCCGGCAAGCTGGTTGATCCAGTCAAGCGAGACCACGGACATGCCCTTGACGCGGGCGAGGGTGAACAGCGGCGACGCCGAGCTCGTTGGCGCAGACACGACGTGGGTGCACGCGGGCGACCACTCGGGGGCAATCTTGGCGCCAATCTTCTTGGCCAGCTCGACGACCTGCGCGACACCGGCGACGCCGAGGACAGACTCGTCGAGAAGAAACACGACCGAGACGTGGATGATGAGCATCGAGCACTGGAACTTGCCGATCAGGAGCTCGTTGACTGGCGCGACAGCATACCGGCGCTCGTCGGGCGGCACCACGGCGCCGTTGAGAAAAGTACTCTTTCTGCTCAGATCCTCCACAGACACGCGAGGATACTGCGGTACTCCCGTGCCGTTCAGCGCCTACAGGTGAGGGTGCGCGCGCGGTGATTGGTCGCCAGCGATGAGTGTCCGCTTTACGCGTCACTTTGGCCGGAGGAAGCGCACCAAGTTCCGCGGGTCGCACTCGCCGACAGCGAGGCGAAACTGGACCTTGGAGACGCCCTTGTCCTCGGTGCGCAGCATGGGGCCGGACTTGCGCCCGAAATCGATCGACGACTCGCATTCAAGCGGAATGAAGGTCGCTATCAGGCGCGAGCCGAGGACAGTCAGCCGTCCGTCCACGGGCTCACGAGTTTGCCGGGCACTGCGGGCCGGCCGGCCAGTCCTCGCCGGCCGCCAGCGGTCTCGCCGCGGTGCGGGATCGGCCCGTGCAACGAGGAACCGAACGTACGGCCATTGTCCCACTTGTCGTCCTTTTCGCCGAAGATGAACCACATTGCATCAAGTTTTCATGGAAGCTGCCGCGGTTCAGCGCAGGGTCGGGCTCGCGGGGAGAGGGAGCGCTGCCCAAGTCGACGCGCGTGGGCAGCGCGACGGGCGCGTGTGACTCGACGACGCTGGCGGCGCCGCGCTCGCGCTCCCTTGCAACCATGGCATCGAATGGACAGCGG